GATTAGATAACAACTGTGACTTTATAAAAAAAAACAGTGGAACAATAACAATATATGCTGCCTAAAGGACCCAACATTTCTTTCATTGGGCAACACTAAACAATTTAAGATTTGATAGTTTTGTCTATTCAAGAGAAAAAATAGTAAACACTTGGTAAAAATTAAAAGAAACAAAACAAACAATGAGGACGTTTGTAAATTATTATTTTCACGTCCTTGCTTTGTTCAAATTTAATCAAGGGAATCGGTTAGTTGTTTGGATACAGGGAATATTCTTCAAAATAAATCTAACTAGTCATTTTAATTTTAAGGCTTTCAAGGCTTAGTTTACCCATCTTAAATTATAAATATAAATCAAGTCATCATTACAAGTTAGTCTTTACACTGGGATGCCTACTTTCGATAAAATGAATTTGACCAGTGGCACTTGACCTCCCCATCAACATTTTGTTGGTTCCCTAGTCAGATAAGGAATCACGAATACTCGGCTCTTTTTTCAGTGGTACACCAAACCAATCTTTTGATAGTAGTAGACAAACAAAATCAAAATTAATTACTATCTCATGGTGTTACTTAGTTAGTGGTGGCTAGCAGTGTAGTACAGAAGACGTGTTTCATCTTATGTGGGAATCGTCAACCGAATGTGCCTGTATTTCCATCCCTCAGTGAGTAGTGATGGTGCCCCAATGAAACTCGAACCAAACGTCTATCTTTCTATACACTGAAACTTTGTGCACCAGTCCACTGGGTCACGGAAACCACCTTCTATGAAATTGGCATCTGTTATTTATTTGTTAGAGCATCCAGGCGTAGTTTAACATTAGCGTCCCAGGAGTGCAAACGCCCCAATGACCTTAAACTCATCCTAGTCGTTGGCTAACGGCACCTGTCATTATCATAAATGAAATATCAACGCTACTCACCAACTAAGCAGTAAATTTCACCCAGATCACTTTTTTAAATACTGTTTGGACAATTTGTTAGTAGCTCGTTAGGGTTAGGATTAAGGTTAAGATAAGTATTGGGGTTAGGGTTAGGATTAGGGATAGATTTAGAGTTGGTGTCATTTACTTTAATTTGTTTTATTATCCACATTTGCCTGCTAAGAAGTCGTCGATCCTCTTACTGGAAATCATAGTAATTCAACCGAGGGCTTTTGGGGAAGACAGCACAACAGGATAAGAGAGATGAACGATTCACAAAAACAGCTCATCTTCAGTCACCTCTGTGAACACATATACAGAAACTAGTCTAACTTGTCAACTGATATTCCTTATTATAACTGGCACATATTTTTAAGTCATGTCAGAGAATACAGGGGGCTCGTTTCACATTTGCCAGTTTACGCCGTCTCTGGCGTAGATGAGATGTTCGACTATCGACCAAAGGGCGGGTGTACTGCTCATCAGTCCGCTCCGTCCTCCTTTATGGCTGTGAGACCTGGCCACTGAGAGTGGAAGACATGAAAAGACTAGCTGTCTTTGATCATAGGTGCCTGCGTTCTATTTCCCGTGTAAAGTGGCATAATAAGGTGAGCAACATTGAGGTTAGGCGTCGAGTTCTAGGTAAACAGAGGAAATCAATCGATGAGGTTGTGAAGCTACATCGACTGAGATGGTTAGGACATGTGTTACGCACTCATATCTAGTCATCGCCTTCCTCGACCGATGGGCAATGTTAGCTGACATATGGTCAGGCTGCAAGAAAGCTAGCGGAGGTCAAACAAAAACATGGCACCAGTCAATGAAATCTACAACAGTTAGTCTAAGCCACGTAGGAAGGTGTAGACTTCCTGCTTGAGGTCCTCGGGACGGTAAAAACCATTGGTTGGAAACAATTGGTGACATGGCTCAAAATCGTTCTCAGTGGCTGGCGCAGATGCATCCACTCCTTGTGATTTATGATTTTCAATGAAACTGTTTTGTTCTTCGTTATTACTCCTCCTTTGTCTCACACCTCTGTTTACTGTCTCTGTTATGCATTTCTTCTACTTTCTTCTGTTGCTTTGTGTGCTACAAGGAAAGAGTGTGGCGACTTGAACTGTTGCACATTTGTGCAAAGTTCTATGTCGAAAACAGACAGACATGTCAGAGAAAGATACCCTGTTAGATGTGTTTTCATGCATTTTCTTGTAAATATACGTTATTTCTCATTCAAAAATTCCTCATTTTTGTGATTGGTCGGCTCAAGGAAACTCGTGTGTTCGCTTCCATCGGGACGCTATTGTTGAACTTTGCCCGTAATAGGAGCTGACATGTCAACAGAGGCCGAGTGCTTCACTTCAATATGACCAATCAACGGGAAATTCAAAATAACTTCAATGAATTTCATCTCTTTAGTAAATATCCTAACTACAACATAGAAACAAACATAACCTTGAATTGAATACTAAGATAGTTTTATGATTATATACTAAAGCTTATTAAAAAGTTGTACATCATGTAAGAGTCTGATTTAATAAGACGTGATAAAGATTAGTTTCTTGAAGTTCTTTGCGTTACGAAGGTGATTGAGTCTTAGAACGATGAGTGATGCTTGAATCTTGAAAAGACGAATGAACCAAGAATTCAGGCTTTATTCATTTTACAATGAAGCCAGAATGGCTTAAACATATAAAGGGAAAAAAAGAGTGTTAATAGCGGTAGAGATATGAATATGATTAGATACGTATTGTAAGAAAAGTTCACAACACTTTGTGTAATTAAATTAATTAATAAACTAACACAAAAGTAATATAATCTACTTTGCATAAACATTCTAAACAACATGACCATTTGAATCAATCTCTAACTGTAAGAGAAGAAATTTAAATTGTACAGTTTTATACTTTCAGATTAAGACAATAAAGTGAGTACAATTCTGAATTCACCAATGTATTTATATAACTGTTGAAATTGTGATTTTAATATGACAGATTAAGAATATTACCCTCTAGCTTTAAATTTAATAGCATTATTAAGGTAATAACAAATTTCGTGCGTCAGTGGCACAGCGGTAAAATGCTCACCAACCACGCCTAATGTGGTCCGAGAGGTTCGACCCCCAGCCACCGACTCACTCCTTTACCTCGCCAAGCCAGTAATAAGACTGGTAAAGAGGGAAAGTTGGACATGAGGCTACTAATTCCATCCCATAAAAATAAACACCACTGCTATCGAAACTTCAAGCTTCTAGCTTGAAGCCCTATGTTTCAAAAGTAACTAACTCAACTGGACTGAATTTTCAATGTCGAATTTTATACAAAATTATAGCAGTTCAAATTATCACTCTCCATCAAAGCGCGTATAAAGATATGGAAAAAGGAGGGTAACCATAATAAATGAAAATGTACGGGAGGAAGAATAATAAAAATGAGAAATTCAGTGGATCTGGAAGTGATCACAAAGTGGGAATGCATTTGTATCATTGAAAACGATTTTGAGTCATATCACCAACTGTCTCCAACTAATTAAGTGCTTAGCTTCCTTAGGATTCCAGTCAAATAGTTTAAACCTCCTTACATGGCTCGAACCAGACTGTTAATGACTTCTTTTTCAATTCAATTTTAATGAATCAACGTAGAACTTTGCATGAAAATGCATTACTTCAAGCTCCTATGCTCCGACAAAACACGAAAGTCATGAGTAAAGAGAAATGATGAGATTTTAAGGAACAAACGTGTATGTGAGAGAGAAAATGATTGATTGAGAACTGGTGATCAACATTATTAGAATTCGGAAAATGATACGAAGTGGATGTTTCCATGTAAGGCTTTAAATCACTTAAATAAGACTTTTAAAAGTTCTTCGAATAATAAAATACATGCACTGTGTCAAGTGCATTTAAATATTGTAAAACTATTTTCAAATAACTGAATGTGTCGCATAATAGTGAACTGGTACAGAAGGTAAAAAATGGCTCCTATGGAAGAAGTCATCTATTTCAATAAGACTGGTCAGCATAAAACCTAATATCGACTGTTGGTTTGCCTGATTTCCATTGGTCATAGGTTTGGTCATGAGGTGACATGAGTTAAAGAACCATTGGGAGACCAGAGCGTAGTGATCGTAGTTTGGAACACTTCAGCAGTGCGCATCCACCGGGGTTCAAACTCAAGGTCTTTCAGTTGCAACGAGAGCTCGTAGACCATTTCGCCACTGTGACCAATCCAATAACTTACGAAATACAACTTCTGCCAGTTTGCAATATACAGCTCAGCTGTCAGCTTATGTCGTAGGCGAGTAACTGTTCTCGTACCTGACTTAGTGGACCCCACCTTGACGTTGACTGGTTGTCGCCGTATACATATATATTCGCGAATTGGCAGAAGTTGGAACTCACGGCCCATCGAATCGTATTCCAGTGGCTGAATGGTCCACAAGTTCGTCTCGTAACCGGAAGGCCTTGGGTTGGAACCCCGGTGGGTGAATATTGCTGAAGAGTCCCAGACTGAGACGAAATAATTATCCAGTACTCCCTTGTCTCCCAGTGGTTCTCTTACCGATATCAACTTGTGATAATGCCTATTAAATCCAACAGTTAGATGTAGCACATTTCGCTCATCAAAAATTTAGCTTTATTAAAGCAAAAACGTATTCATAATTCCAATAATTTTCGATGCAATATCATTTTTAATAACTATGGAATACATTACTTTTAGTCAGTACTATTCACCGTTTTTATCCGTGAATTCATGTATTATATCACACACACACACAGTGTATACTTAGTCTGTAAATGAAATTAACATAATCGTAATGTCCTTCACCTCACCAGGTTTGATTCTTTATCTTAAGGTTTTGATATTTATTCATTTTTAGTCATTCATCTGTATGTAATTAAGCAAGCGAGATTTATTTAGTAGTTATCATTGTAAATGAAACCAATATGCTAATAAGTTAAACACAAGTATATAAATACGACAGATATTGATTTCTGTCTCCGTTTCTTGAATGTTTGATGTGTGTAAGCACCAGTGTATGACTAAACAACGTCTTAACTTTAATTTTTATCGTTCACAGGTGATGTTCGTGTAGAAGTTTCCTGTAAACAATGCAATGCACATTTGGGACATGTATTTGACGATGGACCAAAGCCTACAGGTCTTAGATATTGTATTAATTCTTGCGCTTTAACCTTTGAACCCTCGGATGATGATGATAATAATAATAATTCGTCCAATTTAAACTCATCTATTACATGATATTCTTTTGATAATCACGATATCATAATATGTTGTTATACATAATAATACTAATAACAGGAGGTTCTCCTATATTGCATTTCTAGTTGGTATATATGCTTCTTCCCCAAAGTTTTCTAATGACTTTCTAACCATTTTTTTGTTCATTTTTTGGTTTTTCTTTTCTTTTCTGATTTGAATTATTGTCTTTTTTTACTGGAGTTTAATAAAATAAATTCCTAGTTGGGTTTTTTTGAAATTACTGTTAGTTGTTTTGATGCAGATTGAGGTGTTCTACGTATCTTTTTAGTGATTGGGTTTAACAGATTGACTAAAGAACCGAATTGTTGTCATCAAACTTTTTTTTGTGTGAAATGTATCAATTTTCAAGTGGTTGGGTTAGACCACAGATGACTGCGTTCATTTTCCCGTGTTAAGTGATGTCACCTGGTGAATAATGTTGCTTTTGTTATTGTCTATTATATTATTATTTCCTTTAATTCCAAGAGGAACATAGGGCTTCAGCCGCACATCTCCATTGCGTTCGGTTCTCTGGTAAAGTTTCCACCTGGCTCCAGGTCTGCCCACATACTTTCATCTCCTCTTCACATGGCGTCCTACAAGTCACCCTTGGACGACCAACTCGCCGCTTCCCTTCCGGGTTCCACTGGAGCAATGGCTTGGCATGTGATGTCACTTGATGGTTTCCTCAGAGTATGACCAATCCACCTCCATTTCTTCCTGCCTGTTTGTTTTACAATCGGTTCCTGGTTGGTTCGTTCCCAGAGATCCCTGTTTCTCATCTTTTCTGGCCATCTGATTTTGAGTAGTATTGAGCGAAGGCAGCTGTCGATGAAGGTCTGTAGTTTGTTTGAGATGCTCTTTATGACGCTCTGGTCAAGTCTCTGATCCGTATAGTAAGTAGCACTGGCTTCACATTTTATTTGAAAATCCGGAACTTATTTTAATGCTGAGTGCTGTTGACCTCCACACAGACTTGAGATTATTGAAAGCTTACCTTGCTTTCCCGATCCTCCCTTTGATATCCTCGTCATTTCCATCCGCCTGTAGTTGAAACGACGCTTCCCAGGTAGGTTCCTCCCATTTATTCTGATTGTTGTCTGTTGCTGTTGGTGTTGGCCTGGAATCTTCATTACCTCTGTTTTCTCTATGTTCACTTGAAGTCCTATCATTGGTGCTTCTTCTGCCAGCTTGTTGCTTTTCATTTGCATATCTTCCAGTTTGTGGGAAATCAGACATGTATCATCGGCGAAGTCCAGATCCTCAAGTTTTTTGTGTGAGTCCATTTTATGCCTGTTTCCTCGCTGTCTGTCGCTGTTAGGCATAGAGTAAGTTAATCAACGAGGTTGTGAAGCTACATCGGCTGAGATGGCTAGGACAAGTGCTTCGCATACCGAGCTAGTACCTTCCTTGACGATCAGTATTTGACAGACAGGATCAAGTTGGAAAAGAGTTAGAGATGGTTAAACCAAATCTCGGCATCAATCCATGAAGTCGTTGACAGTCGTGAGGTTCTCGTGCTGGTCAGAATCAATAGCTGTAGACTGTCGGTGATATAGCTCGAAATCGTCTTCAATGGGTCAGATACATTCACTCTTTGTGATTTCCAGTATCTACTAGACTGTTATGTTATTCCCATATTACTATTGTTCCTCCCTCACATATCTGCTCATTGCAGTTTTTTGAGTCTCTTCTTTCCTCTCTTTTATCTACCTTTATGTGATACATGGAGCATGGACTGTTATACTTCTTTGCTAAGTTCTCTGTTGAAATTCAGTTATTTGGGTTTGTGGGGATATGATTAACATTTAGGTAGATCTCATCATAGACCAACATTATGTAAAGCATTATTGAAAAATACAGGGAAATGAACAGCTGTTCCCTTCTAGTCTTGGACTTTTCAGTAGTGTAGGTAGTTTTTATCGGAAATAAATTCCTATGTTTATATTGAAACTCACATTGTTTAATAAGTTCGGCACTGAGCCGACTACTGGAAGCAATCATTTAGATTCAAAAGGATATCATTCTGAAGGTGATACAGCACAGCTTTCAATAGGAGAAAATATAGTGCCTGTAGTCCGGATTCATATCTGAAGGCTTTCATTTCATTATGGGAAGCATGATTATCTTGAATAGAAAATTAATCGATTGATGTGTAGATTCAACTGACATTGTATTTCTGTTCCGGGAAAACAGCAATTGGTTTGAAATAGATTATTATTATTATTTCCTTGGGTTCCGAGTGGAACATAAGGCTTCGACAGAACATCTTCATTTCATCCTGGTCTTTACAGTCTTCCTTAGTTGGCTCTACGATTTCTCATTGGCTCTCATCCTCGCTTCACACGACTCCCTCCATGTCACCTTCGGAACCACACCCAACTCGTCATTACCATTTGTATTCCTCTCGGGGGTCTGGCGCGCGATGGGATTCAACGGTCTCTTCAATGTGTGTTCCATCCATCCCGACTTCTTTCAGGATATTTGTTGGCTGGTTTGTACCCAGAGTTTCCTACTGCCAATCCTTTCTGGTCATTTGATCTTCGATATGAAACAAAGACAGTTATTTATGAAAGTCTACTGCCTTTCTGAAATACCTTTGGTGACACGCCAAGTCTCTGAAACATATCTGGCACTTATCTGACATAAGTGTTGGAAATTTGGATCGTGATCTTTACGCTTAATGCGGCTGAACTGAATGCCATCGTTACAGGCATCGCCTATTTTGACGTGCTCAGCACCTTCGTTATGTCTGAAACTGGCAATATGCAGTCGCTTCGCCAACTGTCTATCTAATTTTTTTATGTAATAAGGGTAGTGGAAGCAACACTTGTCGAGTTGTGAAGACCTCACACTTAAAAGTAAGAGGGTATCATCATTACTGTTGATTATTTTACTTAATTATACACCCTCTAATTCTGTCTGTCTGTTTTCGACATAGAACTTTGCACATATGTGCGGAACTTCAAGTCACCACACTCCATGTAGCACACAAAGTAAGAGAAAGTGGAAGAAAGGCATAATAGAGACAGTAAACAGAGGTGTGAGACAAAGGAGGAGTAATAACAAAGAACAAAACAGTTTCATTGGAAATCATAAGTCCCTCTAAATCTAGCGTATTGTGAAGGCAATAATCTTGTTTCACTAGGTTTTTCGTGTTTACTTTTGTATTGATTTATTTTTTTTAAATTTTCTTGGTGTATATCATAAAATGATATTGTAGGCATTGATTATCGTTTTGTTTGTAATGTGATATTCGAATGCCTCATCACATGTTTTACATCAAATCTTCTATTTGTGGTATATTAGGTGAAATTATCAAGGTTAACATTTATGTCACATGAAGTTGTAATTTCTCTCTTAACTATGTGCTATCATAAAAAATAATAACCAAAAGTAGATATTTCATTCATTCGTAGTCAATTAGGATGAGAAATAAACAGGAAACTGGTTTTTAAAAAAATGCCTATTAAAATTCTCTTTAAAACGACATACTACTTATAAGTAATTTACATTTTCGAAGGCTATTTCTCAAGAGTTTTCTCTAATGAAGCATTAGGCAAAAACGTTTATCTCATGCCTTCGCTTGGAAAATACGTTTATTCTAAATTATTGATATATATCCATGTAAGATGTGTGTTTTAGGTCTCCACTATATTTAATCTTTGGCCAATTACTGGATACATACTGTGTAGCACGTCGTAAGGTGGCATCGGTGCTTGTAGTTCGCTGGATTTCTGCAAACGTTACTGGTAGAGATCGAACAGCATTGTCGATGAGGTTAACTGCATAGTCTTTGGTGGCGATCGATGCAATTACCATATATTCACTTGATGCAGGATAGTTGCTAATTAGCCGAGATAGAGCGTCGGCTTGACCAAATTTGTTAGTTCGGTTGTATTTAATATCGAAATCGTATTCAAGTAATATTATTGCCCAGCGTTGTAGTCGGTTAGCTGCATGTACAGGGATACCTGATTTAGATCCGAAAGTGGAAAGTAACGGTTTATGATCTGTCAGCAAGGTAAATCGGCGGCCGTAGATCATTTTATGGAAACGTCGTACGGCGAAAACTAAAGCTAAGGCTTCTTTTTCGATTTGTGCATATTTCTTTTCTGCCGCAGTTAGTGTTCGAGATGCATGCATTATTATTATTATTGCCCCCTTGGGTTCCTAGTGGAACATAGGGCTTCAACTGCACGTCTCCATTTTCTTCTGTCTTCTGCTGTACTTTTCGCCTGCATCCATGTTAATCCATATTCTTTCAACTCCTCTTCACACGATCTCCTCCATGTCACCCTTGGACGTCCCACACGCCGCTTCCCTTTCGGGTTCCACTCGAGGGCTTGGCGCGCGATGTCACCCAGCGGTCTCCTCAGCGAGTGTCCGATCCATCTCCACTTTCTCCTGCATATTTGTTGGGCGATTGGTTCTTGCTTTGTTTGTTCCCATAATTCCTTGTTGGTGATTCTTTCCGGCCATCTGATCTTCAGTATTGAGCGAAGACAGTTGTTAATAAAGGTCTGCAGCCTTTTGGAAATATTCTTTGTGACCCGCCAAGTTTCTGATCCGTATAGAAGAACTGACTGACTTGACGTTTGTATTGAAAATCCGAATTTTGTTGTTGATGCTGAGTGACGAAGATTTCCAGATTGATTTCAGGCTGATGAATGTGTTTCTCGCCTTCCCGATTCTCGATTTGACATCCTCGTCCGCTCCTCCTGTAGTTGAGACAATGCTCCCTAGATAAGTGAATGAAGTAACCTCTTTCAAATCCCTCCCGTTGATGGTGATTGACGTTGGATGTTGTTGCTGGTTGGTTATTTTCATAACCTCCGTCTTGTCTATGTTCACCTGGAGTCCTGTCTTCGCCGGCTGCTTCTTCGACCAGTTTGTCGGTTTTCGCTTGTAAGTCTTCGATTTTGTGTGACATCAAACATAAATCATCCACGCGCGAAATCCAGGTCTTCTAGGTTCTTCACGTCGGTCCAGGATATTCC